GCATTTGTGTTGGTGGTGGCAAAACACTATCCGGAGTAGTCAGTTCCTGACCGAAATTGCCTAAATCTGACACATCTTGAACGTACGGACGATCACACGGTAGATGACTAGGCGCAACGGGCGGCTGTTGTGGCACGCCCTGATCCTGATGCTGGATACGCTGCCGCTGTTTTATCTGCTTCGGTGGGGTTCCCAAGCTGGCAGGATTTTGACACTCTGCAGATGCGGCAAAATCGGACAGACTAGCATCCACTGGTATCTGTTGGGGCCGTTGTTGGGGAACTGGCGCTGGAGCGTTGGAAGGCGTCGACTCCAGCTGCTGTGGGCAGACATTGTCAATGCCACTATCGAGTGACTGCTTTGAGACCACGGAACGGAGAGCTGCCTGGAACTGCTGAACAATCTCAATCAGGCCCTGTGCGTCCTCGGAAACGCGGTCCAGCTCATCAGGATAGAAGGAATGCTGAATGCTGGGCATCTCAAACCAGGACTCAAGAACGTGTAACTGCGTCTCCAGTTCATCAACATTATTGAGGGCGTCAGATACCGAATTGCAGAATGGTTGCGTGTTGTATGAAAGAAGCCTGGGGGGAAACAGTGGAGGATCTTATTACAAGATTGGATTCTAAGCACTCGAACTTTCATGTTAACTTTACTTGGAAGTCCAAAAATGAAATGGAAATCAAGAGGTTAAAATTAAATTGCATCTAAAAAGAAGCTGCCGAAACCTTTGTCGCATTCCGGCGGGGTAGTCAGTGTGTAAAACTTGGTCCTCCGAGAATAGAAGGTTGTGGATGAGGAAGCCAAGTGGTTCTGTGGAGACATTCATAAAAAAACTGAGCGCGAGACCGAAAATTTCCCGTATCGTTGTTACTGTCAGACATTCAACGAGCAGCCCATTAAGCAACTCTCCGTAAATTATCATCTGAATCAACTTACTCATTTACCCTCTAGCGTTTTTTGTTACAATGAGTGACTGAGCGACTGGTGTTCTACACCCGAAGATAGTAATAATATGTAGTGTCATGAGGACAGCGAACATAATCCAGCAGTTAGCGAAAGGCGTAAAAAGATTAGAGGAGATATCAACAAGATAATAACCGACACGGGTGGAAATGATGGCTAGGTGAGTAACTATTCACTGAAATAACGCATAAACAGGTAAAAAAACAATGATAACAGAAAGTCGGCGTTACCGTTCCTGTTAGCAATGCTGAATTGTTAGTGATTCCTGTGGGCTAATAAGTCTAACTTGTAGGTTACACATTCGTCCCGACACAAAAGACTAGGGGGTACTATACTACTTTCCACATAACATATGTTTAAGAGAAACCGATGTGGTTAAAACCATCTACTCGTGAAAATCAAGAACGTGCCCCTGCGCAGGCAGTATTTTCTCAAAACCTCTCTTGGAGTCCGTCAGTTCAAAGGTCGGCATCTACCTCCAACATGAGCGCAGAGTGCAACTAAACCGATAAATCGTAATTAAATGCTTAATTAGGACGTGGTATAACATGTAGAACAGAAATAGACTATATACGACTTTGGAATTTCTAGAAAC